GCTATAGGTATAGCTGAGTGGTTTCGTGTTCAAGCTATACATTGCAATTTATTTTGGATTTGCTAATCTTACTTCAAGACAGGTCTGGTGGTGGTGAATGTTAATTGGCGTGATATGAACGATAGATCGGCAGTCAAACATTTTGTACATGTGTGTGCCTTTAACTTTAAACATTGTGTTGGCAAGGCTTATTTCAATAAACTTTGGGCTGTTTTACATCTCGTGTAATTTTTTGTTCAAAAATACGAAACATTAATCTCTGCTAAAAATTTTGTTTGAATATATACGAAATTCATCAGAGATTGTGTGTGGTAATCAGTTTCTCAGTAAATACTGAAAATAGACAAGTTTTTTCTTTCAATAACCAACCTTAAAAGCAAACCTTCGAAACGCTCTAATTAGGCACATCAGAAAGAATACTTCTTTCTTTTGATTAGAGCTATGTGACTATGTCGATAATACTATTTCAGGGCAAGTGTGTCAAAATTTGACGACTGACTTTTATCGTGGATGGTGGATTTGGCACGTATACCATGTGGATCATCATGGTTATTTCAAGGTTTATAGAGGACATTGGCGGGTAATGTGATTATAGTTATGATTGCGTGCATAACTGTGATTTTTTCATAAAGGACCATAAGTTTTTTTGAATGTATGCCATTGTATTTAATAAACGCAGTGTTTTGGGAGATGTACCCAAAGGCCAAGAAATTAAAAAGGAAACGTCAATATACCTGATAGCTGAAATAAATAAATGTTATTACCAAATGCTTCGCTTGACTCCGAATGTTTTTTTTCACTGTTTTTTTTCCAAAACAAAACGAAATGGGAGGGAAAACTGGCGGATCCGGGAAAAAACCCTCCAATAATAGAAAAGATCAAAAATTTAGAAAAATTTCCTTAAATTTTTGTAGTTTTAAGATGTTTCCTATTTTTGTTGATTTCAATGATCCCGATGATCTATTTTAACATGCTGCAGCGTATTCAGATCGTACATCCTATATAGTCGTATAAAAAATTTAAATTTACAGAGCGACAAAAAAGCGGACCGACTACCCTATTGACACAGCAAATATTTTGCGTTCAACAAAAGAAACGCAAACTTTCGTTTAAAAGAGCGCAGAATGTTAACAAAGATTTTAATAAATAGACGAAAAATGAAAATTAAAAGCATGCCATAAAATTATATGAAAAATTATTCAGTACGTACGACCTGACCATTTACCTGTCAATAACAATGAAAAAATGAAATGACCAAAGTGACGTCATGACTTGCATAAAAATCATTTTTGACGTCTACTAGACTTCATTGAAAAATTCTATGTTGCTACATAAACACCTTCATTAACAGCTGGCTTTCACTCACGTGTTTTGTCAGAAAATTTAACAATTGTGAAAATTTAGTTTTAAACGGTTTTACTTGAAAATGCGTTATACTGATGAACATTTTGCATAAGAAAAGTGTGATTCTCTCTACAAGGACGCTTGTTTCTTGGTGCTTCTGTCCGACTTGGTCGTTCATTAATTGTCCAGTTAGTAGGCCTACAGAAAAAGCCACTTTACAAAAAAACACGTAGTAAATATCAGCAAAATGAATGATCAAGAACAGATATTAAATATATTGAAAAGAACAAAAAACTTTTATACCTGATTTCGAAGCGTGTCCTGGTCAGTCTGATCCAGGCGACTTAGTCAGTCTCTTCCTATTTTTTTCACCGCGCAGTTTTTGCGTGTATGTCTTAGAAATATATGGTAACATTTTTATCTTCGAAATTCAATGACCTCTAGCTGCAATTGCAATTTTCGTTATGAACGTTAAATGTAATTATCAAAAAGTAGTGAATGAAAGCCAGCTGTTTTCTCACAGCAAGTGACATCTTTCGTTGACAAGCAAAAATTGACAAATTTTGTCATGAAAAACCGACTGTTTTTATTTAATTTGTGTGTTATTCATGATTAAGGCTCAAATTTTAAAAATAGACCATCAGGATCCTTTTTAACTATCTCATGCATATACTCATACAACACTTATCTACTCAACTTACAAACCACAAGACGTGAATCGTGTTTTCCATCTTCGTAGAACATATTTCGATTTTTTAGTCCAGTCATTTCAATATTATGTTCATACGTACATATGCCACAAATCGATGTTCATTCGATACCTTTATACCATTCCATAAACAAAGTACTCAACATCGTTAACCAACAAAGTAGCTAGTGAAATCATGAATCGCCATTTCGACAGATTACAATTTACAATGCACTCTTATGGCAACTTCAAGCGAAGGAAAAGGAATCACTTCAATACCCCAGTTATATCATCACTTAAAGAATGCTTAGCGCAGAGTTGATCTTCTATGAGTATCAGCTGACCACCTTAGGTGGGCGCATATAACAATGGGGCCCATCATCATTATATGCACAAACAACTGACATCAACAGAGAATCCAAACTACAGATAAACATTCTTGGCCATGAATCACCATGACACATAAGCAACGAGAAACTAGTAAGAGTAATTGAAGTGAATGGCACAGGTGGTAAGGGCACTTTCACAACTCCATCCATGTGGGATCTACGACATAAGAAAATATGAAACACATGTACAAGATTTTATGATGAATATGACGTTAGTTTGCGATTTTAATTCTTAATCAGATATATTGAGAATGAGAAAATTGCAATATGTTTTCTGTTTGACAATCCAAATGGTAGAACAGTCACCTACATTGCACGAAAAGCTTCAGTCAGTTGAGTTTGAACGATGCAACAAGAACTTTCGAACGATCACAGGCTTAACTCGTGGTCAACGAAAATTGCAGTGAAAGCTTTCATATTTCGAGGCCTGCACTAAGACTAGTTGATTATTCCACGCAACTCATACTTCTTTATATCATCATTAAAAAGACAGATTTACCTTTCTTTCTATAACGTTAAAGTTAGTAATTTTCCATTAAAGTGAAAACACACGAGTTTATATATGTTAGCTAACATTTCTTTAATTGACGTCATGACTATAATTTTTTATTGTGATTGGCTCCTTAGTAGCTTATCACCTTTCACAAAAACAAATTCAGTGTACTTATATTCATTGCATATATTCAGTAATGAATAATGTGACATTGAAGAAACAAACTAAAAATCAGCATCATCAATATAAACCATTGAGATTTTCACAAGAACAATAGAATCAAGAAGCAAATAGTTATTTAACGTCAGTGTAGTTACTTACATTTGTACTCACTTGAATTAGTTTCTCCTCTGTTCTTGTTATCTTAACAACCGAATTTTCTTACAAATATGGGGAAAATCCTCTTGCTGTTGATCGCATGATGCCAAAATTATTGGCTATTACCAAGTAGTGTTGAAAACACTAACCAATCTTTTCCTTTTTTCATTTGTAGCGACTTCAGTCTTACGAGCGTATTTTCAACTGGATTTTTCTATGTTCTCAAAAAGTTTCTTCAAACTTAAAGATTCCAATTCTTGTTCAGTTGCATTCAGATGTTGGCGGTCTTGATTTTCTCATCAAAACATTCAAATACATCGGCAATCAAATGAAACGTCTTTCGGTAACTTGTCGTCGATGACAGTTGAAGCCAACAACTTTATTTTGCTCTGCACATCAAAAATCTTTATACTTGTCGCCTATGTGTATAGTCTTGTTCCATCTTATATGAGCAACATCTGCTTTCCGTGACGCCTCGTGACTTGTATGAGGCAAAACTTGAAGTGAATAGTACCTTTATACATGGAGTTAAGCATATCACTATATGTATTTGTTCCACATGAATTGTTCGTACTTGAACAAATTATCGGATATCTATCAAATCTAATTCTTAAAAACAAAACGTATTGTTGCCAAACAAAAGAACTGTGCTCTCCCTTCATTGATAAACGTAAAATGCAAATGACAATTAACCATTTTTCTGTGATAATACGCAAAACATTAAAGCATTAAATAACGCAAATATGAGTTTGGGCATTATGATGTTGGTGACGTCAGTTTTGAAACTTCTCATAAAGGTCGAGACGTGTTGGAAACGATTGTTTATCACTATGAACTTGAAGATTGTTATTCAATTATAGAAATAGTGAAATAGAACTTTTGCGGCTGCGCAAATATAGACTATATAATTACAATTGGTTCCGCTCGTTAGGTGAGCAACGAGCTCACATAAATTCTTCGATCATTTTTATTTAATTTTTGTGGTGTTAGCAGGCGATCAGACACGATGGTCATTTCTGACATAGCTTACCATGGATTTCCTAATGCAAATTATTTTTTATTGAAATTCATGGTAAGACAACCTAAAATAAATGTAGATTAACGTAGAAGACAAGCATTTTTTGAATAGCAAGAACTAAAGAAGCAAATCGCATAAAATAGACTAAATACATGAAGGCGTTTCATATTCCTTACAAGAAATATCCGCAGCTTTTGTATAAAAATGAAGACAAAAAATATGTACAAGGTCCGAATTTTTTCCATGCCAACTCCACTCGATGTTCCGGTGCGAATCCTGCCTGTTTCCACGAAACATTCAACGCCTGACCAAAAGTCCACTACTATCAACGTGAAAGAGAGAAAACAAGTGACGCTGGTAAATAATAGAAACGTGAAGAAAAGATGTGAATGAAAAATCGTGAAAAAGAGATGTGAAGGAGAAACGTGAAGTAGAGAGCGATGTGCAGCTTAGAAGATAACACGTTATGTACTTTTTCTATTTTCTTAATTTTGCGAAAAATTTTGGCAAATGTAATTTGAGCCCGCAGTCAATTGCACCGAAGCCAGGCGTACTTCACTTGAGGTAAATCATCACGATATTAAATTGCTCTGGAATTTCTATTTAATCTCTTTGATTTAAGCATTTTAATAGAGTGCTTCATCCAACGCAAAAATACAAGGGCGGATTATTGACACACAGACAAGAACCTCGAAAATAACGCTGACAATGAGAGCGTGTTTCGCTTGACCTAAATCGTCTCGATAGTAATTGGTTTTGGAACCTTTATTTAATATTTTTTATGCATTTAAAAAAAGAAAGCTCCAGTTGCTACGCTGCGCTAAACCCAAAGATCATGCCATGGCCCGTCCTGGTGTTAGTAAGGTTTGTATTCTAGAAATATAACACATTAAAACTAATTTCTTCCTGCCAAAATGACACATTTGTTAAAATCATGCGCTACCACTTTGGGGAAATCTCTAACAATATTGACGACAGTTTCCATAAGAGCATATTGTGGTTACCTCGGTGGAATGAGTTCCTAAGGATTTGCTGTTTCAGCATTTCAGACAACACTGGAATCAGTACGAAGAATCATTGACAGTTTATCATTATTATTAAATAGTCTACTGTCTTCAGCCTCATTTTCATTCACAGAAATTGTTACATCATCATAAACGACTACCCCATCTTTATCTTCATATGTATCCATTTGACTATGCTGTCTCTTTAATTCATTTAATTCGGGATCGTTCTCTCTTGCTTCTCTCTCTTCGTCAAAATCTCCTTCAGAATACTGCAAATCATCACCGACGCCATAGTCACTTGAATTCGGTACACCGAATTTCTTATGATCGTTTTGTACTCTTCCCCAAGCTTTTCGCTTAGACTCAGCTCTTGTCTCCTCTGGATTAAAGGCTTCTATGCTCTCACTGTAACCTAGTTAAGAAATCAAAAAAGTACGTAAGGCAACAGCTTCTTCACTACTTACAATGTATGTCAATGTGGGTGGTGATGTATAAACAACAAAGAACAAGAACAGTCTTTAAATTACCTAAAATATAAACTAAGGAACGTAGGTCAAAGTAGGTAGTGTTGTATGAACAAAAGAGAACGAGAACTGTTTTTACACTAACTACAATATAAACTAAGATAACGTGTGTCAGTGTAGGTAGTGATGTTTGAAAAACAGAGAACGAGAACTTGAAGTGTGTTTGTGGAAAACTCAGTAAAATTTTTACAAATAAGAAATGTTACCTCGAAATTGAGTAGTAGCGTTTTGTTTATCTTGACTCATTCGGAGATACTCGATTGATCTACGATTCCTTTCCATTGTAAACTCGTTTTGAATGTCTAACATTTTATTTTGCAAAACAGCATTCTGCTTTTGCAAAACAGCATTCTGCCTTTGCAGTTCTTTCACCATTTCAATCAACGCTGACATGTCTTGTTTCTTTCCCATTTTTTCCCGGCTCTCATCGACTACATTGGTAGAAAAATCAGGACCGTAAAATATAAAATCCCAAACGGCGCGGGTAAAGTTGTATGTCTTGTTGGGTCTCTCCTGTAAACAAGGTATGAGTGTTTTTCTACTTCGCCATGGAAATAAAGACCTTTTCCGTTCTATGTCAATTATCATGTTCGCCTAAATCGATTAAAAGAAAAATGTTATAAATGTCATAACGATTGCTTTTATTCACCTCATTCATTCATCACCACCTACACGTTATCTTAGTTTAAGTAGTGTAAAAATTGTCCCCGTTATCTGTTTTCATTCATCACTACCTACAATGACACATGTTATGATAGTTTATATTCTAGATAGTGCAAAGACTGTTCTCGTTCTCCATTGCTCATTCATCACTACCTACACCGACACACGTTATCTTAGTTTATATTTTAGGTAGTGCAAAGACTGTTCTCGTTCTCCATTGCTCATTCATCACTACCTACACCGACACACGTTATCTTAGTTTATATTTTAGATGCTGTAAAGACTGTTCTTGTTGTCTGACGTTCATTCATCACTAACTTCATTGACATACGTTATCTTTAGGATCTAATTTGATAGTGTTCATGAATATCCTTACCGTTTGAATGTGCTTCTGCAGCTTAGCGTGTTGCATAATGCTACTGGTATCATCAATGGCAAGGGCAAGCAGAAGGTTCATAATAATGATAGGCATAACGATCAGAAAACCAACAAGGAGGACCAACTGTAATGGATAAAATGTGTTGTAATCAGAGTGGTCACCGAGAAATGTCTCTTTAAAATCAAACTCTCCCATCGTCATCGTTGCTCCAGTTAAGATAGACACGCTAAACCTCTCAAATCCCTGTCTATCATTCATTATTACTGTAAAAGCGGCAGCAAAAGCGACCAAGAAAAATATTAAAAGACCCATGACCTAAATAAGAGTTGTTGATATCATTAAACATTAGGGTAGAGGGAGAAGTCATAACTTCAGCAAACGAACCTTGATTAGTGTGAAGGAAATTTTCCTCATCATGAGAATAATTATACCGTAGGAGGCAAACCTTCTTAGATACATAATAAGATTTATCCAAGCACAGAATAACGCTACAGAACAGGCCATCCATTGAAAACTTGTCTTTACAGACATACTGTCATTACTTGGTACAGCAAATATGAATGTAGATACGTAGAGAACACATTCCAAATAGTTGACTTTGTCCATAAAATAATTGAATTTGTAAACGAATAACTACATAATTAAATAGAGCATGTCAATATCAAGAGATCAAATTAAGGGTAGACATATTTTTTAAATTCCTTTTTAACGATTTCGCCATTCTTATACAGGGGAAAGGACAAAAAAATCAGCTCTATACACAAAAAATTATTGTTATAGGTTTGTAGCTCATCATTTCTCAGAGAAATGTTATAGAAATGATGGATTGCTGTTGAAGAGAAAATGAAACAAAGCAGTAATGCTGCCAATTAAAACTGTAACTTTCATCACTAAATTAAAATAAAACTAAAAAGATAAGTAAACTTTAACAAATAGCAGCCATATTGTTGACGTCATGCTATTGTTGTTCTGTAACTGCAATCACACTTTCACTGAGAAAGCCGATGTTCCAAGGCAAAATACATACGTTTTCATTCTACGTATCATTCTGCTGTCCTGAATAAGTCTCATTTTTTGTTGTCAGTCCCTAATATTTTATAACAGCTTTGCCACGAGCACAAACATAAAGTGGTATTTATAATATACATGGTTTATACGAGGGAACTTTTGCGACCACAAACTGAAAATGCTAACCTGACCGATTTCTTTCAATGTTTGAGCGCCAGCAGATATGAGACAGATAAGCATCGCTACCTTAACATTTATCGACGCATTTGGTAATTCTAAATACAAACAGTTTCAATAACGAAAACATAAAACTAAACAAATTCAAGAAAATCGTGAAATAATTAATCTCCTGGAAAATGTTTCGGGAACCACTGAGTATCTTAATTAAAATACATAACAACGGTAACTCCAATTATCACAAGGTTAAGTAGTTGGAATGTCATTAAACAAAAAGAATGATAGCACAACGCTATAACCAACAACTACAAACAATAACGACCTTATCTAACAACATTTGAGAAATTAACCTTCCACTCCTCTTCCTTGTAAACGAGACAAGTCTACTCAAAAGCAGAGAGCCTTATACGTTACAAGTCCCGGGCTTGTGACAGGTATAGCAGAGTTGAAAGGTGAAAGGTTTATCATAGAGTTTATCCTGCTCATTTTTGTTTGGAAGCATGTTGAACAGTTCATATGGACAAAGCTCGAATTCCATATTAAATATTAGTAACAAAATCCCGTGTTAATGTTAGACAATACATCATTGCTCTTCAGTGAAAGCATTCCGCTTTCCACTGGAAAAGAGTGAAAAATCTATGATAAACCTTTCACCTTTTACCTCTGCTATACCGGTCACAAGCCCGGGACATGTAGCGTATAAGGCTCTCTGCTTTTGAGTAGACTTGTCTCGTTTACAAGGAAGAGGAGTGGAAGGTTAATTTCTCAAATTTTGTTAGATAAGATCGTTATTGTTTGTAGTTGTTGGTTATAGCATTGTGCTATCATTTTTTTTTGTATTTTGATTAATCCTCACATTACCATCTTTGCCAACAGACGCCTTATATGAAGGAATTCCAAACGCGTAGACGTTAAGAGAAACCAAAAACAAGAAATAAAACATAAAACTTGTTGTGTACACTTTCCATCCAAATTCCATCCATTTGGCTTTAAGGTATTTACAGCAGACAGGATGACATAGGCATTGGTAACTGCTATTTCGCAACATCGCTTTGATAGCGGTCAATGGCTTGAGTTTTTTACCTCTCTTGTTTGTAACTGCGAAAAAAGGATAACTATAAGGAAAGCCTTGTGGAAAAGGAGACAGAGGATGTACACGATGAAAACAGTAAAATGAAAACATTTTTCTATAAAGCGTAGTCAGTGGCTATGTCTGTACAAAATGTCTTATTCAAATATTATAAGATATAACTAACCCAACCACGTGACTGTTTTTTTATCCAACCTTGGCGACTTTTTGCAGACAATACAATATTTCATCAATATATGGAAGCAATGATTCATAGACTGGTGGTGGTGGTGATGGTGGTGGTGATGATGGTTGTTGTGGTGGTGGTGATGGTGGTTGTTGTGGTGGTGGTTGTTGTGGTGGTGGTGATTGTGTGGTGGTGGTTGTTGTGGTGGTGGTGGTTGTTTGTGGTGGTGGTTGTTGTGATGGTGGCTGTTGGTGGTGGTGGCTGTGGTGAAATGGTGGTGATGATAGTGATGGTGGTTGTTGTGGTGGTGGTGGATGTGTTGATGGTGATGGTGGTTGTTGTTGTGGTGGTGGTTGTGTTGATGGTGGTGGTAGTTGTTGTGGTGGTGATGGTTGTGTTGATGGTGATAGTTGTGTTGATGGTGATAGTGGTTGTTGCTGTGGTGGTGGTGGTGGTGGTGGTGGTGGCGTTGTAGATGGTGATGGAGGTGATGGTGATTGTAATTGCTTGTTCATATTTTAAATTGCATAAATGAAGAAATATATAATAATAATATTTTTGTGTATAAAATAATGTACCCCCACTTGGCGGAGCCATTGAGCGTAGTAGCTACTATGAGAATTGTAGCATTCTCAATTTTAACGTTTTGAGAACTTTCTTTTGATTATGTTAAGATTCACAAGTAGATCTTTATTTGCTATATAAGATAGCTTGCTCACCACACCTGTATTTTGTAAACACAAAAAGTCGTATGCAACCCAATGGTCAATACTCTGGGTGTCCTGTGGTATTCATGCTGTTAGAAGAGCTCGATACGCCACTTCGGACATATTCTTAGAAACCAACTTCGCCATCGTTCCTTCTGTACCATTTTTTGTCTTCAAAATAATCTGAACACAAGTTCAGTGTTGTTCGTAAACGACAGTTTGTCAAAACACAACAAAACCAGTACACTGAAGATGCATTAAGAGAACATTAAATGGTATATTCGCATTTTACTGACAATTTAAGCAATTGTCTTATGAACTTGAAAAATTCAGGTGACTCAACGTGCGAAGATCATATCTTCATTTAATTTCAAACACCGCACTGCATATAACATTCTTTAATAAGAAACATGTTGAACATATACTTACTTTCAAACCGAATGCTATGCCTCCACCAAATTCTATACTGACAATAGAATCAAATACATTTAAAATAGACGACAAATTTCTTTATAGCAAACATGTTTCGGCATGCTTTATGCCATCTTAAGTGCGAAGTGAATAAATATAGGGAGTTTACATGATAATATGTGATAGTGATAAAGCGGAAGTATCAATAGTTATGAATAATTATTTACAGTTGAATAAGGTGTTATAAAATGCTATAATGAAATCTGTCGTCTACTTTAAATGTCTTATAACCATTGAGCTCTCACGAAATTATAAAAATCAAATAAATTATAATGAAACATACCTCTTTCCATCTATCATGACACATCATCACCATAGCGCTTTTTGTATCGTCATTTATGATGGTCCAATCCAAACAGTTAAAGAACTCATAATCTTCTGTAATTGCCGCCATGTTATCTAGCAAATACTTCACAACATCTGCTTTGCCTTTCACAGCTGCTGTAAGCAATGCTGTTCGTTTGTATTTATTTTCCCAATCGATCATGGAAGGTTTGAACATCACCAACAATTCAACAATATTAAGATGTCCTTTGAACGCAGCAATGTGAAGTGGACTAAACAAATTTCCATCCCTTAAGTACACAATAAATATTTTACTCAAATCTATCTTCCCTATCAATTAAGTTAAGACATTTTACAATTATCTTTTCTCTGTAAACTTCGTTGATGGCAAGATAGAAAATTACCTCACTATAATTGCTCCGTTATTCAGAAGACATTTGACGACCTCTGGGCTACTGTAGTTCGCTGCTGTATGGAGCGGCGTTTTCCCTGTGGCATCGACCTTGTTGATCAAAGCTGGTTCATTGGCTAGGATTAATTCAACCACATCAGAGTTCTGTGAACTAACAGCGCAATGTAATGGCGAACGAGAAGTGTTCGTGAAGACATTCAGATCAGCGTTATATTCTAACAAAATACGGACACTCTGAAATAAAGAAATGAGCCTCCTGTAATGTACTTGTGTATATCTTGACTTAATTTCAAAGCAAAAGCAACCCACTTACCTCAAGTAATCCTTTTAAGGCGGCATTATGAATGGGAGTATAACCGTCTATTTCTTTCTCGTTACTAAGCAACGGCACGAGATCTTTTTTCTACAACGTGTTTGATTATGATTAAAATTTAAAGCTTCGCTTTTCATCTCCAAACAAAACAATAGCAACAACGTGAAAATTGTATACCTTCAGCAAAATTCTCAATGTTTCAGGATATGCAATTGCATAGTGAAGAACCGTTCTATTGCTGTCATCACGAATTGTAAAATCAGCTTTCAATTTAAGCAGTTCTTCAACGACACGAACATGACCGCGTTGAGCGGCAAGGACCAACGCAGACTGGGAGTTTTCCGTCTTTTCATTGACAAAATTCTTGGATTTTGATCCAATGTAAGAGACAATATCACTGTGATTATTGATTGCGGCTCTAGAATGAAATAAATTGTCAAAGTGATAACGTCAGGCTTAAGTCCAAAAGTCCTAAATGATTAAATGTACAGATGATACGAATGAAATGTAAAACCTACTTATGAATCGGAGTGAATCCTTGTTTATCCTTTCTGTTCAACTGAAGGAAGTCCAAATGTGTCATTACATCCACAAATCGAAATAAACTCTTCTTCATGCCATTTTTACAAGCCGCATGAATCAAATAACCATCTCCATGTCTGATTTCTTCGCACAAAGCTTCACGAATCACATCTTCATCTTGCAGACAAACTTGTACAGTACGTTCATCACCACTGTCCACAGCAACATGAAGTATATTGCGGTAATACTCGCCACCATACTCCTCGCTGAACAATAACTCTTGCACTCTGCTTTTTTCTGAAATAGAAATGTTTTATAAATACATAGGCAGCAGGAAGGGGGCGACTGTACCTTTCGTTCAACCAAATAACATTTTCATATTTCAGGAGGACAAACGAAAAATCCTTAATCCTTCTGCCGACGACGAAAGTCATTAAACAAAATACACATATCATGTTGCAAAATCGTTTTACCGTGTTTCAGGAAAAGTTCAAGCATATTAGCATGTCCTTTATTAGCGGCGATGTACAATGGACATCTTTCTGTGATATCAACCTCTGTTATCTTTCCACCGTGTTCTAGCAACACCTTGGCGATCTCAACATGGTTGAACGTTGCGGCAAAATGAAGTGGTGATCGACCATTCACGCTTTCCACATGGTTCACAAGATCAACAATGAAGTCATGTTGCAACAAGTTATGAAGAAAATCTACATCACAAAGAGATAAGGTGATAATGAAAATCTCAGGCACTCATGTTGGCCTCGCACTGAATCAATGAATCCCCACCCCTCTCCATCTTGGGCCCTTTGCCGTGTTTTCAAATATTATATTGCGGATAATACATTGCTCGGTTGAAGAAAGAATGCTTATTTCATAGCACATCTCTTACGCTGTTAGTAAATTGCTTTCAAATGCATAAAATAGCATTTACAAAGATGCAGTTTTAAAATTTTACTTGGGAAGGGTATTTCAGGTCCCTCTGCCACATGGCTCACGCTTAACGGGTGTCTTGTGGTTGGTGCCTTCCTGTGTAAAATCCTTAAAATATCCCTTGGCAAAGAGCACAACTATGAAATACCTTGGCCTACAACAAAATTCACCTCAGATAACTTGCTACGTAGAGATAAACAACTATATGAATACGTGAATGACAACTGCATGGCAATGGGTAAACTTAGTTTGTGGTTAGTTAGAGTTGGGATTGAGTTAGCACGAGGCTAGTGTAAGAATACCAAGAGGGATTCTATACATAATTGCTAATAGGTTGACCTACATTTTAAAGCAAAGTCATCCATTACAGCAGTGACAACAAGTTTGATAGTATGTTAATATCTATCTTCTAGCCTTACCTACGTCACCCATTCTGGTGGCTACATGAAGTACACTCTCTCCGTTCTTAGCTATCACACACTTGGTGTCTTTTACGTGATTTAACAAGGAAGTAAGAGAATTAAGACTACGCGACTCCAAAGCGTAAAATATACATGGTTGTCCTCTTTCATCAGTTTTCGAGAGTAATCTTTGAACTACAAAAGGACATTTAAATATCGAGCTGGTTGAAGGAAAAGAGATTAATATTTCATCAACGAAATACTAACTTTCACGGTCACTTGTTTTCTCTCTTAAAATATTATTGATCATTGTTTGGTCGTCATAAATTGCCGCCAGTTTCATTTGATCAGCTAAACTATTTTGCACCTTACTCCCGTTTTCGTCAAAGTCGCTCACATCCGGAACGGTCCCTGCTCGTTGCAAATCTGCCGTGTCTTGCTCATCAATGAGTCTCAGTCTGCTCAGGGCAATATGTGCAGCACGATTGACTTCACTTGATAAATCATAGTCCACGCTTCTCTGGCGTCGTGGAAAGCCCACGTGCCAACGCGATCTCACGTGGTTTGCCATTCGTGACAATCACTTGAAAATGCACAAAAATTCCAATGAACAAACAACAGGGCGGCAGAACTTAGACAATTGGCGGCTCATATTCATATATTCATATGCTAAAATCTGTAATCACTTATTGATTTAAGTAGAAACTAATAAAGAGGAAGATGCATGTATGAATATGGAATTATCAATTTTTCCATGGTTTACGCATATCCATGGCACATAAGCATGCAGGAAGCCATGCTTCGCCTTTCAATATCTCATAATACTCTCGACGATACTTGACGATGTTATAACTCGAATGAACAATCAATTCGTTGTAACAAATATACCAACCTTATGACGTAATAATAAACGTTGTCACACAACCAGATGTAATTTATATAAAGCTGAAACAGACATACCTTTATCAAATTACGTATTGTTGAAACTTCATGAAGCAGGAAAATGGGAGCGCAGACAATACATCATTAAAATCATCACGTCGTTTATTTGACCATAGAACTACAACTGAAGACGTACGATGTACTTAGAGCTTGGTTTCTTGGGTGACTTACGTCGCCAAATCACTAACATTCAGAGTATAGAATACCAACCGTTGCATTATAAGCCTGAAGCACCATCTTTATTTATACATGGTCGTTTATACGAATGTCAGAATAATCGTCACGCGCATCTAAGACAACATGAACTTATCGCCCTTCCAAAATATCGATACAAGTTTATCCGAATATTGTCAATTTCCTACCATCAAGAGGTTAAGTAAATGATACCTGTTCATGAGCTAGATATTGATGGAATAGCAAACTATCACATTTAAGTGCTACGCATCATCGAAGACGCAAAATCATTTTCCGGTATTAACTATGCTAGAGGAAAGACATTGACCGCATGACGTCATTGAAATTGCAAAAATTGAATTTTCATCTCACGACGTTGAGACAAAACCGGATAAAACAATCTTCAAAATTTTATGTTTTGTTGAACAAACGAGAAATGAAACACGAGTCGACAATTTTAGGTATTTTTAAAGAGAGGCAAAAGATCAAGATGAAATGAAATAAATCATTTGGCTATGTAAGACTATCACTTTATAGATTATGAAAACACACCGCAGTCGCTTAGTCGCGCGTCCAAAAATTGATACGTCAAGCTTGAAAAACACATGCAGCGACCATTGCGACTTTTACTGTGGCGTCTATTGAACATAAGATTTCTGTTTGTTACAGACACATATCATTTAAACTTTATGGCCTTTATTATAGCTACTAACATATGAATATTTAAGTACAAACTACGAACAAGCCATAAAACACGCCAATATGATCATAGTTTACGCGTATATCGTGGATTAGGGTTCCAGTTTGTATCGTATTGTCCCTATTTGATAAGTCATATAAAACTGAAAATGTGAATTCATTATATATTGGTTTTCCAAGGTATAATCTATAAATTTCGTATGATGCTATGACAGGAAATATGATATGCATTTAGAAGTTGAAATGTATCATTGGCCAATCAGTGTAAAAGCGACTAAAAACAATGTCAAAAATTCAACATGTTGAACTTTCAAAGCGACTAGATGACGCGACCGCTACTAGCTTGTAACTACGAAAGCGGTAGTTTTAGACGCGCGACTAAAGACTGCCTAAGTTATCGTGCATTTCCGATGCGCATATCTAAATTGGAAAGTCAAATAACGTCAAAACCATCGCATGGATCATAATAAAACTTGCAAGTTTTAGAAACAAATTAATCCCCCGAAATAGGGTTACACCATCTGCTTGGTAAACCTATCGATCGAAGATGGTGGATATGTTTCCCAAGGGGCTATCTAAAACGGAAATATTTTAGTGAAAATCAAAAATCAGAAAATCAATATTGGATCAACTTGGTCTGATTTGAAAAGTTTACTGTTGCTAGTTGAAATGAACACGAAGGTGTGGACATAAAGCTAGACACGAAGGTATACAAAAAGATAGACATTAAAGTTGGCAAAGGTACATACAAAGAGAGAAGACAAGTTTAACAAAAAGATTGATAAAAAGGTGGAAAAAATAGACAAAACTAAACACACGAAGGCAAACACAAAGATAGACAAAAGGTAAACACGAAGGAAGATACAAAGATGGACGAAAGGTAGAAAGAAACATAGACATAATGATAGAAAAATAGACACGAAAGGTGGGACACAGAGTTGGACAGAAATGTAGACATTAATAAGTATACAAAAAAGTGGACGCACAGGTACACATAGGTATACAAAAGGTCGACATAATGGTCGACATAAAGGTAGTAAAAAAAAGAAGACACAACTGTAGAGAAAAGATAAACACAAAGGTAGGACAAAGTCAAACACAAAGGTAGGACAAATTCAAACACAAATGATGACAAAAAGGAAGACACAAAGGTAGATAGAAAGGTATAACAAAAGAGGTAAACAAGATAAGTGACACAAGATAGACACAAAGACAATAAAGGACAAAATGAATGACAAAAGGACAAAGAGAAAACAGACAAAGAACAAAAGATTGACACAAAGAAGGAGAAAAAAGGAAAAAAGGATAGACAAAATAGATAAAGGTAGACAATGGTAGACAAAAAAAGATAGACATGGATAGACAAAAGTAGAACAAAAGGTGACATAAAAGTAGACAAAGAGACAAAAGTTGATACAATGGTATTAAACCAAAAGATACACAAAAGTTGACAAAAAGGAAGACAAAAAGTAGACAAAGGTACAAAAGTTAGACAACAAGGTAAACACAAAAGTAGACAAAGGTAGACAAAAGGTAGACACAAAGGTAGACACAAAGTAGACAAAAAGTAGACAAAGGTAGACAAAGATAGTAAACAAAGGTACAAAAGTTGACAAAAGGCAGACAAAATGAATACAAAAGGTAAACAAAATGACAAAGTTGATAAAAGGTAAATAAAAATAGTACGTTGAAAAAGACCTCTCTTTTGATAAAGTGGAAACTTTTTTAAAATGTGTACATTTGGGTGTTTTTTTCAAGAAGCCGAAAAAGAATCGCAATAGCCCTGCGTGGTTATCTGTCGTACAGTCGTAGTGTTAACTTTTTTCTCTTTTGTAGAGAAATCTAAATTTTAAAGTGAAGGAAAAGAAGAAAAAGCTAAGTAGCATTAAATAAAAAAATAATTTACCTTTCGTCCCTCGGGATGTATTCAAACGTTGTAAATGGTACACGCCAAGCAACAGCAGCTACCTAAAAAAACGTCAAAAAGTTAAGCGAGTGCGTCAATGTATCAATCGATAATATCGTTAATGTAACAATGCATGAGTTTGGTGACGCTCACATATTATATTGATGTGCTGAAAACGTCGTTCAAAGTCTTTGCACTAATTGTTAACATGTCGGACAAGCTTAGTTAGGATTTCTTTTGGCAGTGAAACGTCTTCATCACAGCTTCTTATGTATTAAAGAGAGCAGCTAAAGATGGTTGTAAGCTGAAGAAAAGGTGTTTTATTAGTTAAGGATTGAAAACACGGATTACTTGGATTGAGCAGTCATACAACGCTACTGGCTGAACTAAAGATGATGTGTCGATCGTTAATTGTTGACAGATTATGTTCAGAGTTGACTCACTTCACTTCGCGTATGCTCAACATGACGATACGGCCAAACATTTCGAAAAACTCTTTTTAACTTCTCCAGTCTTTTGGAGGCGATCACAAACTCGTGGCTCATGATTGTCAAGATCTTATGGCTGCAAGTATATAATAAAATTACAGAGTACATGAAAGCTACAGGATATCATGAAAAAACCATTTACCTTTATGACAAGTATTTGAGATCTCAATTTGAAACTTACACGTAGAGAGGCAGCTACATCACGTATACAAAAGACTTTGATACTTCGCTGTAACAGACTAAAAGTTATGCACCAAACTTATGGTAAGGTATTAACAAGTAAAACTTTGATACTTTACTGTAGCATTTTCACCACACATCATTACAGATAAGGAGAACGCAGCTCGAGACAAAAAATGAAATACCTGTTGGCAAGTACTAGTCAATACTGCAAGTACTAAGCAACAATAGCAAGTATTCCACAATACTGACAAGTATTATGCAATACTATCAAGTACCATACAACAGAAGCAAGTATTCCACAATACTGGCAAGTACTATACAATACTATCAAGTACCATACAACAGAAGCAAGTATTCCACAATACTGACAAGTACTATGCAATACTATCAAGTACCATACAACAGAAGCAAGTATTCCACAATACTGGAAAGTACTATGCAATACTATCAAGTACCATACAACAGAAGCAAGTACTCCACAATAACAAATTTAACAGAAAACAATTGGAAATAGTCGTGGGATTAAGCAATATGTTTATGAAAACAGTAAACTAGATCCGAAAGTATTCGGCGAAATAACGAATAAGAAATATTTTATCTTCAGTAAAAAAATTCAGAAAACTTAAAAAACAATGAAATGTTTTGCCCAAGTATTAATTAAAAAAAAGATAACGTGTCAAGACAAAAATTTTTTATTCTCAATTGCTCGAACAGACGTGTTTAGAAATGGCAGATAGCTGCAAGCGAATATCACGATAGTTTTCAGCCCAGAAACTCATTTCTGGACTTTCTACCATCATGTGCAATTCTTGCCGGTCAATCCTCTTTCCCACTCCAATTGAAATCACCTTCACCCTCCTGACGAGTAACGGGGCAACAGCTTCATCCAATCTGATAGCATCGGCTGCCGGAGATTGACGGCCATCTGTGATAACCACAGCGACATTCGGGAACGAAGATCGCATTCCAGCTCTTCGCGTAAAGAGATCAGAATTCGCTAGTTTCAAGGCTAGATCGATACGAGTTCAGCCACGAAGATGAGGTAAAAGGTTCAGTCGAGTGGTGAGGTCATTTCTTGAATAAATATCATTAAATGTTGATGTAATGTTTGCAGTATCACTATAAACCATTAAAGCAATATGCGTCTTCCGCCAAGATATTTCTAACGTGTCTGCAATCATCTCAACAAGGTTTTTCGCTTCTGTAAATTTGTCGTTTAAAATACTACCAGACGAATCCAAAATGAAGGCTACATCAAGAGTTCTCTTGCAAGGCAATGGTGCCATAATAAAAAATAGTAAATTAACCTATATGATTAAGAGGCTTTGGACATGAATGGGGCCATCGACAGGGATGACATTGGGAAAACAATATGCGTGTTTGTAAGAATAACCATATCAAAAGAGTTCAAGACGGCTCAACAGATTAAAGCCAAGATGTATATTGAACACGGAACATATTTGTTCCAACTAAAACAGAAGTTTTAGAGAGGCAAGTGTTTGATGGCTGCGTGACCACGAGAAATCACGTCTAATTAAAAAACATATAACGTCTAGCATAAAATTTGAAAGAACACACAAATTGAACACAAAGATTGGACTGCTATCTGGTGGTCAGAAGCAATTTCAGGACAAATCACGATTTCTACTTTAAAAAAATTGACCGAAGAATTGTAAAAAGAATAGAAATATGACTGACAATGGTCATAAATATCAACGAGTTATGGATTGCAGTAAAGGCTGCTGGGTAAGGCAGTCCGATAAATAATCTAAATGTGCGAAAGATTTAAAGCAACGATTAAATCTTTGGCGGATGCACTATTTATCGAACTTTTTGGTTGTTTGTGACTGGTATACCTATAGCTATGATTATTTCTATGCGCAATCGGTTCTTCTGAACCTCAAACGCGCGAGCAATCAAGTCAACAAGATCGTAAAAGACAAACCAGCTACACATCATACTTACAAATCTCTGAGCAGACATCCTTAGTAAAAGCAGGGATCATCTTACTTAAAGTATTAACG